GGAATGCAAAACAAGGAGCGACACAGCCCAGCGGGACCCAACTAAAGGTCCCAAGGGACCAGACAGGCATCCCAACCATTACCCTTCCCAAACATTGGGACCCCCCCAAATCCCCCCCCCCCCCCCCCCGAGGGACACACGCTTTGGGCTTTCACCCCAAGCCTCCCTTAGTACTAGGAGTTAGCCTCTAGGACAAGTCCAAAACTTACTAAATACAGAATGGTGCTAAATTGCAAATTTGGACACGGGACGAATACCATTGTGTTAAGGCTGATCTCTACATTCCGTAGATATGCCAAATGAGCTAATCTAGACACTTTCCATAAATAGCACTTGGGACCAAAATGAGACTAACATAAAGGGCATGATAGCGAGGGTGTTTGGCAGACACGATAAACTATCATTTAGCGAATATTGAGGGACTAGTCTCAATATCACGGGGGTTCTTGATACTAGCAAGTGCAAAATAATTATAGGAGTTTCTCAAACCAAGCCAAGTATGCTCAACAAGAAACACATAAGGTTCCTACCTTATGTTTATCTGATTTAAGTATACGGTCATTGACCAGTTTCTCAACTAGCTCAAGTGGGAATGATAAAAGGAACCAACTGTACCAATCTTCTGCCGTCATGGCAGTAAGGAAAGAGTGTCTATAAGGACTAGCCGACAAGTATCTTTTGATACCCAAAGTCACATTTGCGACACATTCACGGTCACATTCACCGACGTGCGCTACAATAAGTACTCCATCAGTTAGCATGGTATGTAATTTGGGCTTAGACCCAAGCCAAACATACAACAAGGATAAGCACGCAAGCGGGAGGTATATTAAAGATGGTTTTGTATATATATACCTATATATCTGAACTTTGAATATGTCATTTTTTGCTAAAAAATTTTCCCATCACAATAGAAATATATAGCAACAAACCAAGTAATAAAAGATAAACTCAAACCCGTATTAACCAATATAGAGAGAATAACAAGAGACTTCTTATTATAAAAATGAGTTTGGAAAATGAACACTAAATAAATTGGTGTCAAGTGAACCTCGTACTAGTATTTCTAATTTTGCATAAAAACCATTCACTACTCATATTACTCTTAGTTTCTTAAAAGAATTTTTATGTCAAAATTTTCCATTACAATAACACCAACATGATGTTGATACCAAGGCTTCTATTAAGGAAATGGAATATACCAATTTAGGAAACTGACAATGCTGATCATATGGCCAACCTCATCATATGCCTAGTAGTGAATATCACAACCATGACCACATCCTTGCCCTTATCTTGAAATATGAATAACAATAATGTTAATCTCTATTAAAAAAAATAGATCTCCTATGGAAAGTGGAGTTAAAGCATGTGTAACAATAAATGGAAGAGGTGATATCTTATAATATTATATCAATCGAAGAAGATCAATTGAGGCAAGTGTATATATAAGTTCTATAAGATTATGATGAAGTACTAGTCATTAACATTCTCAACTTGATCCACTCTAACATATTATGCTCTATATGAAGCAAAACGTTTCAAAAGTAAAATCAAAATACATAATTAATTCAAACAGTCCTTGATAAAGACAATGCAATTATTGTAATGTATTGTCAGCATGTCTAAATATATATTTGAAAACATCTGAGAAAAGATTCCAATCTGTAGAAATGGTTATGCCCAAAACATTATACCATTGTACCATAGTTTCTTATGGGAAATTTGTGTAGACATTAATCAAGCATCATCCCAAAAATGATAAATGGTAATCACCATAAAATAATTAAATCAATAATATATATCATCCCCAAAATTCCCATAGAGAAAATTTAACTAGACTTGAAGATTGGTAGTAAAGGTAAAAGATGTGTCATAAATGTTATTATCAATTGAGTTTGATTATTCAATTGGCATCAAATAGCTGCACTAATTGCTGCTCCATTGTGAAAGGAGGAGGAGACCATTGAAAAGGAAAAAAATAAAAGAAGAAAAAAACAAAAAAAAGAAATGGAAAAACAATAAAAAGGACAATACAAAAGCTTATTAAGGAATGAGCTTTTGTATTGTCTTCTTTATTGTTCTTATAACTCAAAAATCATAATTATATATAAAACTGAGTTATAAAATTGTAAAATTGAGTTATAAAACATAAATAATTTGCTGCATATTTCATGTTGCAACACTTGGTTTGCTTAATAATAATGTTATTCTTATTTAATAATTTAACTGATTAAAATGAAAATTATAATTATAAACATGTTTATAATTTATAGACACAAAATTAATCTTATTGTATAACAACCTAAATGGTAGAATAAAAGAGAATATACTAAAAAGTATTTATGAAAGTTTATAAATTATAAACATGTTTATGCAAAATTAATCTAAATGAATAAATGGTAAAAAGCATAGCCATCTCCTGTCCTTGTACCCCTCAAGCTGCAGAGATTGCCAACAAACTTTTGGAGGTTGCCACTGAGAACTTGGTCCGCTGGCCAGCATCTATGCTGCGGCTGGGAGGCACAACGAAGCTGCTTGAGCGAGGAGCACAATGAAGCAACGATCGCTGGCCAAGATGCCAGGAGTAAGCTTGATCAAGGTCAACCACAAGTTCGTCGTTGGAGATCCCAAGAACAAGGAGATCTACGAGGAGCTGTGGAAGATCCACAATGGTGGAGCGGGGCTACTCTCAAGACCGAGGTGAAAGAGCAGCTGGTTTAAGGACTCGCAGCGCTGTTCCTGGAGCGGTGCTCATCATCCCAAACGCGATGGTCAGCGTCTCGTTGTGCAAGCAAGTTGCGCCGACTGCCACACCGCAACCAAGCTTATACTTTGCCAAGACTTCTGGATTCCATTGTGTCAAAAAATAGAAGACGAGAGTGTGTCCACGGCTTGGGGAAGAAGCTGTAGGGGATGATCGCTACAAGCCTTCTATTGTGCTCGGTCTACGCACGCGCCCAGCAAGCTCCTCGCTGCAAGAAACGGCATGCTCTCAATCAAGTCGTGGCCTTCCTCAAGCTGGCCCGAGTGGCCGTGGCAGCACAGGGCCTGTCGCAGCCTCTAAACCCTAAAATGGCGATGGAGAAGGGCAAGAGAAAGGTGTGCGTTTCACTCTTTCTGTTTCTCGAGTGAGTGAGAGATTTCTGTAGAGACTGCGCACGCAAGAAACCACCCCGGAGGAGCAGCGAAGCCGGCATTCCAAGCACCGCCGCATCGACTCCTCCCAGGTATCTATCTATCGCTGCCGCAAATCTTCTTTGCTCACTTTGCTCAGCCAGGCCGGGGATCTCAAAGCCAAGCTCGAGAGCAAAGACGCGGACCTCAAAGAGGTCCACGCGCTCCGGGACGATGGCTACGGCCCTCTCCTGGCTGCGCCTTCCCTCAGCCCCGAGATCGAGAAGGCGCTCTGGAAAGCCCACCACGCCAAGATCACGGAGTTTCGCTCCCAGATGCAAAGAGCCGCCGAGAAGCAAAAGAGCGACCGCGTCGGCAAGAAGACGCTCAAGAATGTGGTGGCGCCTTTGATCGACTTCATAGCCAGCAGCTCCAACTTCTACTCGGAGCTTGTTTCCAGGGTGAGAGTGAGGCATGGCCTCGGTGGGACCGTCTCGGATAGCTGTGACAAGAGCTTGGACGAGAGCGAGGCGAGAGAGTTCCGCGAGACTTGTCACCGGCTGCTACTGCGCCTCGGGGACTTGGCTCGCTACAAGGAGGTGTATGGAGTGAGCCTTGGCAAGAGGAACTATTCCACCGCGGAGGACTACTACGTGCAAGCCTCGAGGCTTTGTCACTGTGAAGGTGGAGCGCATGGACAGGTGCGAGGATCTCGATTGTTTTTCTGCTCGTTCTTTCGGTTCTAAGTGCTTGATCTCTAGCTGGCGATCCTGGCGACCCATGCGGGAGATAGAGTTCGTGCTGTGTATCACTATCTGAGGAGCTTGTTTGTGAAGATGCCGTCTCCAACGAGCCACAGCAACCTTCTCCTTCTTCTGGAGAGTAAGGTATCCATTTATTGAGCACGATGAGAGAAGTTGATGGGGATTTTTTCAGTCGGACGCCATCGCTGAAGCCAGCCAAGGATCGTCCAACTTTGACAATCTCTTGAGGCTCTTCGAGATCTTACTCCTGAAAACTGGGTGAGTGCATTAGCTTGAGACACGCAAATGGTTTTGATACCCTTGCAGTTTCGACAATTTGCAGAAGGTGCTGGATGGCACTCTGAACGAACTCGAGCGATCGGTGGGAACTCCCTCTAAAGTTTGCGATCCAGCAGAGCCAACCATGGGAAAAGTTTTCCTGGGAATACAGATCGTGACGATACTAGCGTGCTCCATCGAAGACTTCCATCTCGGCCTCGTCTGTAAGACTTCTCCGCCAAGGAGCTCGCTGCATGAGACTCTGGCGTGCGCATTCAAAGTCGTGCGCACGCTGGCGGCGATCGGCGATCCAACCATGCTCCCGGCGCTCGTCATCTTCACAGCAGGGCTCGCAGGCAGCGAGGACACCGTGCGGGCCACCGCAGAGTCCGACGAGCTCAGGAGGAGCTTCCTGGATGCCTTGGAGCGGGCGGAGAGCTTCTTCCAGGCACTGAGTGTCTTCTCCGAGGAATCCTTGTCAAGGCTCTCCATGAGCCAGGAGGAGCTCACGCAGGGAAGACGCGACGCTCTCTGGGAGGACCATGAGCTGCAAGGCTTTGTTCCTCTCGGCCGGTACCACGAGTCTCTGAACTTTGGCTTCCACTACCTGGCTTGCGACTCCAAGCAGCTCGACTGGAAACGTCTTCGAAGATTGGAGGCTTCCTTGCGAGCTCTCGCGGAGATGGCAGGCTTGTCCAAGGATACAACTTCCAGTCAAGCGGAAACGGTGTCCACAAGTCTGGGCTCGGTTCTGGACAGGCAGCTAGCCGAGCTCAAAGTTGATACGGGCTTGTCGAAGAACACTTCTTCTAGTCAAGCAGATGAAGAAGCAGCAACTATATCGACGAATCTCAGCTCAGCGCAGCTAGACGATCTCAAGGTTGATATAGCAGACTTGTCAAAAGTTGGATTTCTCAACGAGGCCGAGGAAGCGGGATCCACCGAACTCGAAGAGCTTCCTGTCAAGTTCTCTCCTAGTCTGGAAGATTCATTCTTCGCAAAGCAGTTTCTAAAATCTGTAACTGGATCCACCGACTTAGTTCTTCTTGAACAAGCACCGGAGTTTCCTGAATCACTCGAGGATGATCATGGCCAAGGCCTGAGGGATTTCGAGGACGACGTCATACCAGTAAGTTTTTTACTTGCTTGCTATACGTGCTTGGTAGAGTTTGATCGTCTTGGTGTCTTGGTGTCTAGTTTCCAGCAGGAGACGAAGGTGCCACGGACAATAGCAACGATGAGGATCTGCAAGACGATATTTATCTACCCTCGCAATCACAGGTACAATCAAGGAAAGTTTGAAATAAGTTTTGACGTTGTGTACATTTATCATGCAGGAAGATGCGTTGAACTGGAGATCGCTTAGCTCGTTTTGAGAAGATGTAAAACTAAGAGAAACAGACAACGTAGTTCAAAGGTCTTTTTTAACTTTTACTTCCACTTTGCCTTGTCAAATACTGAGCATAACAATGTTAACTTTACATTTGTAATGTTGTTTTATTCTTTTAAATTATAGTACAAGCAAAATGGAGACGAAATGTATTTTATTTTCTATCAACTAAGAGTTTAGTATTGGAAAAGAAATGAATTTTTTTCTATATTTACTTTATGTTTTCTTCTTCCCTTTTCAAAATCTTGCTATAGATTTTGAGTATGACTATGGAATTGTGGATGCACTTACTCTAAATAGTACACTATATATTCTAAGTCAAATTTCAGCTGCTATTATGAATATACCAAATGATAATTTAACAAGAGGTCAGCATATAAATGTTTTAACAACTATTACCAATGGAGGAATTATTTACAATGTACAAGTTAGCTTATACTTATTTGATGAAAATACATGTACTATAAATCCGAATGGAGAAAATGAGAATGGATTTCATGCACGATATACACTTGCAACCCTTTTTACTCAAACATATGAATTATTAATAAGATTACGAGCATCATTTATTACAGTAGTTACATATCTTTATGGGTTTGAGTATATGATAATCAATTATAGACATAATCAGGAGCAATTACTTGGATTTCATAACACACCTAGGTGCAATATCTATAAAAGTACAATGCATATCCCATATAAAAGTTTATTCTCTTCTGAGTTCTTAACATCCTCTAATGGAAAAGCAATTCTCTATTTGCATATAGATTGTAATTTGGTTTTATATGTTTATAATAATGTAAAATGGTTGACTGGCACTTCTAAGCAAGGAAGTAATTGTTATTTAAAAATACAATTTGATGGAAATATAGTGCTTTATTCGAGTGATAATAAAGCTGTATGGTCAGTGAATAAATACTGTAAACCACAACCTTATTGCCTTATGAGTACATTTTTAGTATTAAAAAATGACTGTAATTTAGTTTTATATAGAAATAGACAAAAACAATTTCATAAATATCCTTTATTGGAATTGCTATGGGAAACTAAAACTTCATGTTAGTTTATAACTTAATTCTAAAGACGCTTAGTTTGCTTTGAATTTCCAATAAATACATTGCAGCTATTGTTTAATCTCAATTTAACATTCTTGCAAATGAACCATACATCCTAGTATCCTAGTTGAAATACATCCTAAATGTTTTTCCTTTGGCATGTTTTCAGGATATATCCATATTTCAAGATACTTATGACTTAGAGCTTGGAGTCATGATGGTTAAACGTCACTAAATCACCACTAATATGTCCTAATATTTAACAATGTTAGAACTGGAATATTTTCCTTAATCAGCCACTTGAACTAATGCAACCTCTTGACTTTGACAATAGTAGGCAGAAATGGTTTCAAAACTAACCACACATGCATCAGGGTTCTGTCAATAGCAATGTGAAACTTTTATAGTAACACATGCCTATATAGTAAGTTCTAACTCATGAATAAGTTTTTATGTTTAAAATTACAACCTTCTTTGGAGATCTAACCAAAGCAGCCAAATAATAAAGAAGATCAATAAGAACTCCATGGGACCATTCCTTTGGTCTTGAAATAAGAGAGCTTGGTGAAGAAATCGGATGGTTTTAATCATAGGTGCAGCATCTTGCTTAATGAGCAGGACGGAGGAGTGGTACCATTTCCGGTGGTGGCTGCTTCCACTGCCACCACCACACTGCAGCTCAAGATGAACAAGGGTATACTGTGGCTTGGGTAGTGCGATATAAATCATATGAGGTGGGATTTTCAGTTTAAATGAACTCTTAACTCTTAACAAGTGAAGCAGACACGTCAATAATAGAATAAACTCTTTCAAATGTGTTAGTAAGCCGTTATGCTGGAATTCTGGAAGATGCTATATTTATGCTACACTCCAGTTCCTTTCTAGGAGGAATCTAGGGCTTCCCTCACGTGCTCACAAAAAAGAGAGTTGTCAGTCTAGAGGACAAGATAAACACCTTTGGGCCACTTCCAACTTATCATCCTCACTTTAAAAATTCCTAGGACTTAAGAAGAAAAAATCAATTTTTGAGGACTTAAGTTACAAGTCTTGTGTAAGTAAATCCTTAGCAATTGTTTTGCTTCGAAATTTAGAGATCATAATTTTCTCCTTCTAGTATGAAGTGTATGATAAATAAGTTGTTCTATTGTCTTGCCTAAATGTCCATTTCTTAAAAGCTCTAAGCAAAGCAAGCTCAGGCAAACAGTTTATATTAGATTAAAGAATATTCTAGGATATACTTGGATATTTTTGGAATATCCACTATAGCCTATGTCATCGAGTAACATCTGCAAGACAAACTTAGCACCATGACTTTTATTTGCAACCACTTCACGATACAATAAGGTGCTCTATGGAATGCAAGAGGCAGCAAGAGTTTTTGAGAAGTTGCTATGGCAGAAGCACCAACTTTGATAAAATTGTGACAAAAAACTTTAAGGGTTTCTTAGTATAGTGGCTCTTAATTTAATGTTAGATAAAGTGCCACCATATTTACCTCATATGGTATTGGCAATACTCTGATATTAAATCCATTTGTCAAGTACTTCACCAGCTTATCAGGCCGATGAGAGGTCAAACTAGCCCTCCACAAGTAGAAGTTAGCACCACCACCAAGCTTGGAGGCAAGTGATCCGACCAAACAACAGAGGTTATTAAAGCATTTAAGATATTTATTTAAAATAAATGCTTAGGATTAAACTTTAATCCATGGTTCTGGGACAAATGGCATTACATCAATTAGATATTCTGCAAGGTCCAAATACCCTGCTCTGCCAAAAACGTCAACCATGCAACTGTAATGTCGTATTATTCTCTTTAGACCATAGTCATTGGTAACAGAACAAAAATTAGAGCAAGCATCCATTACATTTCCTAAGTGGTTGCACACAAGCAAAATAGAAACAAAAGATATCTCATCAGGCATTTCAACCAAGCTCAACTCATTTAAAAGTCTTACAGCTCTTAAACCCTTACTTCCATTCAGCAATGAATTCCAAGATGCCACATTTGTCTCAGGCATTTGAGCAAAGAGCCTTTGTGCCTTTCCAGGTACCCCATTAAGAACGTATCCAGATAGCATAGTGTTCCATGATATGATATCTCGCTGCCTCATTCCATGGAACACTTGCTCCGCGATGTGCATATGCCCTGCTTGAGCATATGCAGAAACCATGATGTTACACGAGACTAGATCGTTTTCTTGCATTGAATCAAAGAGTATTTTTACTTCATCTGTTCTATGGCAGACCAAAAGCGCGTGAAGCATGGTGTTAAAGGAAAAAATGTTCCATTCTGGCATCTGGTTAAAGACACAAACGAGTTCCTCGACTTTCCCAGTTTGGGCATAAGCATCAAGAAGAACATTCGTGGAGATAATATCGTGTTGTTCCATAGCTTGGAAGAAGCGCCTTAATTCTACTAGATTTCCATTCCGAGAGAGACCGGAGAGCATCACGGTCGAGCAAACCAGATCCAAATCCTTCATTCTACTAAACAGTTCCATTGCCTCATCCACTTGACCTCTAGAAACAAACGCAGCAAGCAGTGTGGTGCTAGAGACGATGCTCCTTTCGGGCATTTTTTCGTAGAGGATCCTGGCCTCCTCAGCATGCCCGCACAGGGAGTAAATCGCTAGCATCGAATTGCAAGACACAAGATTGTGCTCTTTCATACCCCGAAAAAACAAATCTTTGGCCTCCTCGAGATTTTCTCTTGCGTCTGAACCATAAGCAGACAGCATTGCGTTGCAACAGGCAAGATTCCACTCGTGCATGGAGCAGTAAAACACATGCCTAGCTTTTGCAAAACGCCCACTTTGGGCATACGCTGTAAGCATGGAGCTCCACACAACAATATCTCTCTCTGGCATGTTTAGGAACAATTGTTCAGCTGAAACTAGATCAAAATCTTGACAAAACGCCTTTAGTATTGTGGATAAGGTAACCAAGTCTCTCTCCTTCATTAAACTAAGAAGTGCTTTTGCTCTTTCAACTTGCCCATCTTGGGCATATGCCAAAAGAAGAGTATTCCAAGAAACCAGATCCCATTCTGGCATATTGTGAAACAAATATTGTGCTTCGTGCATTCTATTTGCTTTTGCAAAGAATGAAAGGAGCGCGCGGTAAGCCACCGTGCTGTGCTGGGGCATTCCATCAAATAACCGCTTCGCCTCCTCCAGATGCCCATTCTGGGCATAAGCCGTGAGGAGCAAAACCCACGAATACAAGTTCCTCTTCTCTCCGAGCGCAGAGAAGACACTCCGCGCGCGGACGACGTCGCCAGCCTTGCCGTAAGACTGAATCAAGCGGTTTGTCGCGAGCAAATCGGAAGGCATTAATCACAGCCGTCCGATGTCCGCGGGAAAGGTTTGACTTTGAAATTTGAAGTTTAGGGCAGCGGTGGAAGCCCCATCCTGTGGTTCCTTTTGCGCGGAAAAACATGACATCAAATGCAAATACGCAACTTTACTGACGCTATTTGTAGAACGCTCTCTCCAATTAATTTCCCTTAGACTTTTTAGGCGAGGAAGAAGGAGCGATCGATCGATCTATCCATTGGCGATGGCGGTGACGAAGAAGAGCGTGGGCGATCTCACGGCAGCCGATGTGAAGGGCAAGCGCGTGTTCTTGCGCGCCGATCTCAATGTCCCCCTCGACGCCGAGTTCAACATCACGGATGATACGCGGTTGCGAGCTTCGGTGCCGACGATCCAGCACCTCCGCCGCCTTGGAGCCAAGATCATCCTTGCAAGCCACCTGGTAAGCTCGATCGATCGATCAATCCCTTCCTATCTCTGGCGTTTTTCTTTCTTTCCAGGGGCGACCCAAGGGATACACCAAGAGCTGCTGCCTCGCCCCTCTCGTTGGACGCCTCTCAGAGCTTCTCGGGGTCAAGGTAGAAATTTAGGGTTCTTCGTTCTCTACAAAGTCTCTATTGACTCGCGATAGGTTGACCGCGCCGATGACTCGGTGGGCGCGGAGGTGGAGGCGAAGATCGCGGCGCTCGACGATGGCGGCGTGCTGCTGCTCGAGAATCTGCGCTTCCATCCCGAGGAGGAGAAGAACGATGCGGAGCACGCCCGGAAGCTGGGAGCGCTGGCCGATTTGTATGTCA